ATGGAAAGTAAATAGTTTATGCAGGGAACTATGAAGGTTTAAGAAAATAACATTTCAAAAATTGACCATTTACATAATAATAGAAATATGAATATTTTTGAACAATTACAGAACATTATACCTTATACCAGAGTACCTTATATCTAAAAGGACATTTAAACTGGTACATGTTGATCAATTTCCCTTGACATAACATACGTTGACAAAAAGGTTGTGTTGGTATGGATGGAAAATTAAACCCTATTAACTTTTTTATCTAACTTTATTAGTTCTGTAATCTGGCATCTTTAAAAGTCAATGACACACCTCTCTCTGATGTCAAGTAGGTTTGATATATCATCATTATATGTATTGAAGTATCAATAGTATCTTTATATGAAAAAATAAATAAATAAATAAATATATATATATATATATATATATATATATATATATATATATATATATATATATATATATATATATATATATATATATATATATATATATATATATATATATATATATATATATGTATATATATATATATAGACAGACAGACAGACAGACAGACAGACAGACAGGCGATAGATAGATAGATAGATAGATAGATAGATAGATAGATAGATAGATAGATAGATAGATAGATAGATAGATAGATAGATAGATAGATAGATAGATAGATAGATAGATAGATAGATAGATAGATAGATAGATAGATAGATAGATAGATAGATAGATAGAATTGAATTATCTATACAGAAACAGGCAGGGGCACGTGTTTGCCTATTTGGATATGTAAAGATCCTTCTAGCCACAACATGACATCCAAACACAAACATGAGACATGGCGTGCTGCACTGCCAGAGGGTTCTTATACACTGGGATTTCAATGAGCTGTTTGAAGCCAAAGGCTCGAATTGAGAGACTGCCTGCGTCACCCTGATGGTGCATGGATCTGTGTAGTGATTTTCGCCTGAGGTGCTCTTATATTGTGAAGGAGGATGCTTGCAAGCTGGAAACTAACAGGGAAACATATCAGGCCACAACTCTACACGATTGTGACTGGTATTTCATAGCAAAAAATAAGCAGGGAAATTAGCTGAAGTGTGCCTTAATAAAATTAGGATTGACTTTTTAGCCTTTGACTCACACCCGTTCACTCACACTCTAAATCCTTTCTCTGTTAACTTTGCTACCCAGTTCTTTGCCCTTTCTACATAATTACAAAAAGTCACTCCCCTTTCTACCCCTGCACTCTAAAATTCATATATCACTTGCTACTGCCCCATAAACATCAACAATAACTCTTCATAGGAGCATATTGCGATATCATGACATCCTCTACATTAGTGATGAGTTTCCATTTATACATTTTCAGCTCAAAATTTCGTTCTATCAGCAGTGAGATCTACACTTTATTGATTAAAATCTTAGAACTGAAATATTTCTTAAATATTTATGATGTTAAAAACCTCCCTGTCTAAATAGCCTTCAGGTACCCAAATGATTTATACAAGATGGTATAATTTGATGCTTTTGATAAAAGACATGCCATGAGGACTAGAAGACCTTCAGCTCTGGCTAGACTTCTCATCAACTGAGCCTGTCGCTTTGGCTAAAGTCCCAAGTCTGAGGTCTGGTTGGCTTGCTATTATGGTTACGTAAGTGTCAGGGAAGCGCCATATGGGAAACTCATAGGGGATGAACGTGTGGGTTTAAATCTCTATACATGTCATATATCTCTATACCTACTTAGTCCTTCTGCGTCACTACTTTTACAAAGCTAAGCTAAGTAGTATTAAACACAGAGGAACTGAGGGCAAGTGAATAATAGTACCGTATTAAACAATATCAAATTGTTTACTATGAAATTATGATTAGAAAAATACCCAAAGGATCCTGTTGTGGATCATCAACAATGGCACTTAATGTTAATGACTTTCCATCTTTAAATATTATCATTGCTAGCTCCTCTGGGCAGAAGATTAGCTCTGATGAAATAGAGATGCTCCTAGGCATGCTGTGTTGCAGACAAAACATGATGTGACATTAAAAAATTTAGTCATTAAATCAACTATGTTTTAAGAATATTTTTTTATCTACTAGGTTCCCTTAAGGTCATCTTTCTGAGCAGAAACATGTTCCCATACCATTTGTTCTCTTCCGATATCATTCCCACATCTGCATGACTGTCATATGATTTTCAATGTGGTAAGGCCAGGCTGCGGTTAAACCCTTGAATGGAGCCATCTCTAACAGGTGCCAGGTGAACAGTGCAACTGTTTAAGAGTGGTGAAGAAGAACTGTGTAAGAACTAAAGGAACTAGATAGTAAATGTATCGGATCGGTGCCTGGACTCCATTACTCACCGATACTGATGCCAGCATTTTCGGTAGTATCTGAGAAAATTACGATACTGGTATCAGAATCAGAACATTTCTAATTAGCTCATTTACTTCGTTACAAACTTGAGGGACATTTTCTTAAGGTAAAATGTATCAACTTTCAAGGTAAGAATGCTTGTAGACTGACACCAGCATTTTCTACAGAGCTTCAAACAAAAGACCAAGTATGAGAAACCAACCAAATATTGCAATTAGCTTTTTTGATTATTAAGTCGTATGCTATTTTTGTATCTCTTCTTGACCTAAATAATTAGAAGTCAGTTAAAAGGCTATGCACACTAAACTTTAATAGTGCACTTGCAATTTTTTTTTCACATCATAAATATGTCACATTCTAATCCTAGACTTCAGTGTATCCCACTGTCATGGACCAAGGCACATCACTAGATAACATGAAACAAGTGGAACAGTAAAAGTAAAATTCCAGTACAACCATGTTTTTGAGAAGTGACCTAATAAGTAAATATTGCAAGGCAAAAGGCTGTCCACCCAAGTCAACAACCTAGAAAGGCAAGTGTTAGGGTAGCTTTGGTGCAGATGCAGAGAAAGACAACTCAGGTGTGAAGCAAGAATCTAATGACAATAAATCTGGCATTTGTGGAAGAAGGCAAATAAATTTATGCTAAAAAAAGAAAGAAAGAATGTAAGCCATAAAAAATACTGTATATTCACCACAAAGCATGTAGCGGAAACATTGATGTGGAACCAAGTCCAGTGGATTGTTTTTAAACTTTTACGGAATGACTATGACCTGGGTGTCTTCATCAGCATATTGATGTAAAACTTTTTAAGAAAAAAGGCAAATGATTATGTTTGAAAGGAAACACATTCTTCCCAGCTCCCTGTACATACTAATCTCCACTGTGAGAAAACTGTAAAGATTAAACCTTAAAAAAAAAAAGTTGTTGAAAGAATCAACATTATTATTTCTTAATGTCTGGGAATATTTTGACCAGAAAAAGCTACTGAAGATTTTAATTTGATTATTTTTTATTAATGATAATCAGGTATAGCCAATACCTGGACACGTGTTACAACAACAAAACCAACTATAACTTTTTTATAAGGGTTTTGCTTTAATTTGAGATTTAAAACTGTTTATATTATCTTTTAGCTGTTTTATTACAAAAACGTTCCGATAAATTTTTTCATTTCCCATATTGCAGCTTTGAGAATTGGCCAATAATGATATTGAGCTGATACGATATTAGCATGAATCATATCAGCTTTTAATACTTATTTTATAGTGTAGATTGTTGGAAAAGGCTTGATCAAGAGCTATTACTAAAAGAGGGAACAACAATAAAAGGTATGAAAACAGCTGACCCATGAAAAACTAGGCAAGGAGTTACAGAAACTTTTAACAGAAGCAGACCATTTCTATCAGCACGAAAATATAGGAGATTTTAGATGTTGGTCGGTAAAATCCGTTATTAGTTTTTTGGCTAATATTGGACTGATATCCAATATTAATATAGGATTGTGACATCCCTAATAAGTTCACCATAAATATTCAGCAGTCAGGACAGTAGGAATCTTGCAGATATGCCTGCTGCTGCTACTGCTGAGCATCTATGGTTGGATAAATGCAACTACAAGCAGTAGGATTTAGACCTCAGGTATTGTTTTTTGCATTACAAATGATGTTTACATTTGGCTTAAAATGTTTCTTCTGAGTTTTTTAGGTAAAGTGTCAAACGGTGCTTTCAAATCTGACATCCTTCCTTCTTTCTTCACCCTCACTGTAGCTGAGAACGACACTTTCACTTCCCTAAAAGCAGACTTTACCCTCTGCAATACCTTTTTATGTGAAGACTGTCTTGTCAAACTTTAAAGCTATATTCAAATAAAAAATAAAATAAAAATAATAATAATAATGGGTCCAATCCAAGGGCTTGCTGCCATAACCGAAGAGAAAAAAATTGGGGGGAATGCAGTTATTCTATTAAAAGTTGTCACTCATGAGAGGGCTCAAATGTATAATTATAAGAAAATTAAAGAAAAATAATTAATATTTTTTGCTCATGCACTACTCTGTGCTGCTCTGTAACAGAAATCATCAGGAAAACACAATGAATTTTATTTTTGTAATATGACAAACTGTATAAAGTAAATCAACTTTTGCAAAGTCCTTTACTAAAATATTAGTTCCTAAATTTAAAGATAAAGAGTAACATAGATAGATAGATAGATAGATAGATAGATAGATAGATAGATAGATAGATAGATAGATAGATAGATAGATAGATAGATAGATAGATAGATAGATAGATAGATAGATAGATAGATTAGGGGTTTATTATTTTATTTCACTTTTGACGTATGGGCTGTGTATTTCCCGTAGAAATCAAGTGTATGTGACCTGTCATGGTCTCGGAGCTCTTTGGTTTTGGATTTTCTCTTGTATCGGTTTGAAAACAAAAGAGGGAACACAATAGCACGGATCAAACTGACACGCATGTGTTGGCAACACAACAACCTGCTTCAGCAAGCAACGCTTTTAGAAAGATGGGCTGTCTACTGGCTGAGAGAAAAAAGCCTGAAAACCCTGAGCTATTTTTCAGGCTTTAGTTGTGATGACTAATTTGAGTTGAACAAAGACATTTCACTCACCTCAGAAATGCAACATATTGGCGTTCTCTCCCATCGTCTTTTTCGTAGCTCCAACGAAGCAAAGAATATCAACCCTTTTAGAACTTGGTCAGCTTTTACGCATCAACATCGCGTCTTCCAAAGCAAGCGAGAAAGTCCAGCAACCTCATCGAAGAGAGGTTGGAACAAAGCTCAACTCCTCTTCCCTCTCCTCCATTCTTGGCTTTAGTTCCCCACTCTGGCTGCCTTTCTTCGTACAGACAGACGCGCAGTCAGTAAAGCTACCTCATAAAATATTAAACACCTTTAATGGACAAGTGAGATAGAATAGAGGGGAGTAAATTGGAATGATGCCTTTCGATATTTATTCCGTGTTTACATCATGTACCCAATTATTTCCCTTCAGAACGATCAGAATGTGGACTTCCTTTGTGCGCCCAGTCTCCCTCTCTCTCCCCCTCTCAGCGGGTTGAACCATTGCGGCAGCGCAGTAGGGGGGGAGATAGGATCTATTCATGAGAGTGTATGGGAACGAATGGGCTTGGTGACTCGTGGCCAAATGTTGTTGTTGTCGGGGGATAAAGAGAAGGGGGAATTGAGAGGATGGAAAAAGGGAGAAGGAAAAAAAGTGAGAGGGGTGGGGGTTGGGGGCAGAAATTAGAAAAAAAGGTAATAAAGCATATATGTACATAAAAATGTTTTGATTTGATATGAAAAATGTTTCGAGTTTCTTTGTTATTGTTTTTTTTTATATACTGCGACACAGTGGAAACTGTGAAGCCCCTCTCCTCTGAAACGACGCATTCACACACCATTTTCCCACTCATGTCTCAAGCATCCTACCAAGCACCACTGCGCAACAAATTTAAAATTACACCCCTCACCCTTTTGGTGAAAACGGAAAAAACTAAAATAACGAGGCTGTTCTCGATCTGTTTCTCGCTCTGCTGCCTGTCAGTTCCAGTGAGTTCAGGACCTCGGAGAGCTCCGGTTCAACACAATTCCACCTGTTTATCGTCAGGGCCACTATAAGTGTGTAGGGCCAAACCCTTAAACATTTGGCGTTAATCTCTCTCTTTCCGAATTTTAGAATAGATATGCAAGGTTCCATTAGTTACAAAATGTAATCTTTCTAATTATCTTTTGCCATACACTTTCAAATCCAACAGTTGGCTTCTGTCCACCCTATCCCTTCCCAGCAAATTTAACAGCAGAGCAATTAAACATAATGCATAATCTACATATAGTTATGGTTTGACTGCCATATCATGGATGGCCACCCCCTTGTATATGTCTATTTATGATATAATTGTAATATCTAGCGATATTGTTGAAGTTTTTATACAAAAAATAATCATAACTCCCATTGTCAAATATCTGTTTGATACGACGATAAACTTCCGCCTATTACCCTTAATAAATCTTTACTGACTTTTTACACAGACACAAAACTCCAAAGAAATGTATTACCTGATTGCCCACATGATTAATACTTACTATCATGGACCTATTATGTATACTGTTTGTTTACTCTTTCTATTTGCACACACCTTTGTGTTCTGTCTGTTCTTTACTATAGAAGCCATAACAAATTGAACTGACGGGGAAATAATTGTTGTGCCACAGCGCCTCCCCACGGAGGAAAGTTTGCCAGTTGTTTGGAAACCAAACACATCTTAACCAGATGTTTATTTGTGTTCTTTCTGTTGCTCCTGTTTCTGTTTTGACCTTATTAGAGAAGACAGCGTTTCAAGTGCAGCTTGATAAGAGAGCCAAGTTGTCAGCTCATGCGCTGCTGAGAAAAATGCAGTTGCCCTTTTTTTCCCTTTGTTCCAGAGCTGCTAGAAAATCGGTCTGTATTATAATCAATATGCTGCAAAAAAAAAAAAAAAAAAAAAAAAAAAAAAAAAAAACAATACTTATGGCACGTGATCATCAGCAAAATATTAAGTATGAAATATTTACACATGCATTAGGCATATAAGTACCCTCATTTTGTAATAGCCTATACCCAGACCTAACTGAAACTTTTATGAAGTCATACTAGTGTTATAATTTAACATAAAAAATATATATATATATATATATATATATATATATATGTATATATATATATATATATATATATATATATATATATAAATAATATAATATAAAAAAAAAATATATATATATATATATATATATATATATATATATATATATATATATATATATATATATATATATATATATATATTTGGGGGGAATGCAGTTATTCAATCATTGATTTAGGTGAACTTAACTGATGGGTTGCATTTTTTAGGAAAACCTACATTAAAAGCTGACTGAAGCTGTAATGCTGTAATATAGTGGACACTTTTGTGTCTTTGCATTTTGTAAAAAAAAAAAAAAAAGGATTAATATGTTTTTTGGATGTTAAAATACGAAATTCAGAACAATTTCACCGTTGCATCTATAATTTGTTTAACAAATATTTTTCATTTGTTTGTTTGTTTGTTTTTTCGTTCAGACAAGAGAAAGAAAAAAAACAGAGCCGCTGTACCTTTAAGAGCATCTCTCAGCATCCTCCTCCTGTGTCAGGGACGCGCACACACGACGTACACGTACAGCAGCCCAACATTACAGAGAACAGACTACAATCAAGCCTTACCAAACCAGATCAGCATTTTAATATACAGAAAAAAAGAAAACATCTTACAGATACAAACTGTCATCCTATTTTCCCACTTAGACATTAATGCATCTGCTTCAGCGGTCGCCATAGCGGTCCAAGCGATCAATTTCCTTCCCCTCTGCATCAAAGACTGACCTGTGCTGCAAGATGGCTGAGCTGAATTTGGGGAAGGGTCTGACGGCTGGAAAAGTGGCCAGCAACGTTCAAAAAAAGCTGACCAGAGCCCAGGAAAAGGTAAGATGTGCTCCGCCAACTAACCAGTGTTAAAAGATACAGAGGACGGCTCGGCCTGTTCAGCGCTGCTGCCGCATCCTCCGCTGAGGCGCAGTGTCGCATCACGACATCAAAATTGGACCAAAAATTATCTTTTTAAAGATATTCATATAAAGTATATCCTGTCATTCGATATTCGTATAATAGGACATGTTAATTAAATAAAATTGTCCTCAGTAGACCCACTTCTGTAATAAAAAATATATATATATCTAAATATCTAAATGTGCGCATTTGTCTAATTTAAGCTCCCCTCTTTTACAATATAATTAATTCCAGCATTAAACAGTAGTGCATTCTGCAGTAACATATAGCAGGCCTGTGCCTTTAATTGCATGCACGTTGCACGAAATGACTGCGAGGTGGCGCTGTTTGTTAAACAGAGGACATGTCTAAATAAGAGCAGAATTATTGATATAATATCTGTAAAGATGATAGTATAGTGTCTTGTTTAATGTAAGTGCACGTTCATTGTGTTTCTTCCTGCTTTTATTGTTATTTTCAATGCCTTACAGATAAATTCTATTTTTGGGGGAATTTGATGTGGTAGAACAACTATCATTTATGGTTAACCATGAAATTAAAAGAAAAAAAATGGTATTCTGATTAAATATGGTGTAAAAAATTTTCAAACATATTAAGATCACATTACTATATTAGATTAAATACAACCACATTTTAAATAAAAAAAATTATTTGAATACATTTGTATGACACAGCTGCCGATCTAAGAAATGATCAAAGTCCAATCAGACTGTATTTTCAACACGTTTCACTGGAAGTGCAAAACTGGTAGAAAGAAACAAGATATACGGCTGTAATTTTAGCAGAAAGTAGTTTTGCAAGTATTAAGCTATAGGACAAAATGGCCTAAACATCTTTAAGATCTTTCTATTTATTTTAAAACAAACATCCATATTTTAAATGGTCCTTACTACAGTCAATGCTATAATAAATTGTCTAGTAACATAAAATCCATTTAAATTGCAATTTGGATTGTAGTTGTTGCATGGCATAATAATAAAAGGAAAGTGGACAGTAGATATAGATATGCATTGTGAATAGTTTTGCAGTTATAAGAGGAGGGTATTAGATCTTAATTATGTCTGTTTACTGCTGCAATTAACATTACTGTTTCTTCTCAGACACTCTCAAACAAGATTACATACACAATACACACTCCTTATGACAACCATAAGAACCCTAGCCCATTTCGTATACTGTTTCACCACAAGCTGCACTATATGTAAATGCGACATGTTACCTATCCATGTGCATATATTTGTTCCAAAGGGAGTTTTAATTTGCTTCAAAGTTTTAACAATGTTTAATAGTATTTTGCTTTTCTTTGCATTTGAGGTGTGTTTGGATATTTCTGTATTTCAAAATTTTAAGGGTTTCCTATAAGGATATAAATGTTTCTATTTCTGCAAAACTTTATTGATTTTTTTCTGTGTTTATGTATCTCATCTTTAGCACGATTTGTCAATGAAATTTCATTATGTCCTCGTGAGGACAACGATTCTTAATTTTGATCTTGATTACTAATTTCTTTGGCAAAAGGTTCTGCAGAAGCTTGGTAAAGCAGATGAGACCAAAGATGCTGCCTTTGAGGAGTGGGTCATCAACTTCAACAAGCAATACGTGAGCCTATTTGCATGAACCTTGTTATTTGTGTAACTTCTTAAAAAAATCAGTTTGATATTCAGTAATTTGCTGTAAGACATAGTTTAACTAACTATTGGAATATGTTAAACATCATCCTCAGACCGAAGGGAGCAAACTCCAAAGGGACCTAAGAGCATACCTTGAGGCAGTTAGAGGTACGTTCATACTCCTTTAAGCCACAGATATATGAGTATCATATCGAAAAAAAGTCCCCACTTCCACTGACGTTCTGATGTTAATACATATGTTTTAGCCATGCACGAGTCCTCCAAGAACCTACAAGCATGTCTAGGCGACATGTACGAGCCTGAGTGGTATGGCAAGGATGAAGTTGAATCCATTCTGGAGGTTAGAAAGGCTTTTTTTTGCATCTAATATCACAATAACTGTTTATAAGTGGGTATTAGCGGGTTAAGGACCAATAGCTTTTCACTAAGAGGTCAGTGTGTAATGTATATGACTCTGACTAATGTAAAGATTCTCTGACCCAGTTCCCATGTTAGAGGGTGAAAAGGAGCACATAGAGTTAGTCAAAGTCAGGGAAACAAGACTACACTGAAAAACAGGCCAAGCTTCAACATCAACACGGAAAGGTGTTGATGGCAGCAGCATAGTTTATATTTATCTCCAGGATGGTGGTCAAGGCCAAACAGGAACGGATCAGATGAAGCTACTATGATGAGAAAAAAGAAATGTGGTTGAAACATCTTAAATGGGCCAAATTTTTGTCTTTGTTTTCGACAAACATGGGCAAGTTTTTTGTTTTTAATTAGACCAAAGAGCGACAGTCTTAAAAAAATCCAAAAATATGATGCAAATTAGGACTGGGCAATTAATTGCAATTTTCAAATC